CTCACTTGGTAGCCCAGGCTGGCCTCGAACTCACAGAGATCCGCCTGGCTCTGCCTCCCGAGTGCTGGGATTAAAGGCGTGCGCCACCAACGCCCGGCACCACCTCAGCAATGTAGTGAGAGTCTCAAAAATAAACAGAGCTGACAGGATGACTTGGTGGGTAAAGACACTTGCTGCCACCCTAATGACCTGAGTTTGATCTCTGGAACCCACCTTTTTTTTTTTTTTGTTTTTCGAGACAGGATTTCTCTGTGTAGCTTTGCGCCTTTCCTGAACTCACTCTGTAGCCCAGGCTGGCCTCGAACTCACGGAGATCCGACTGCCTCTGCCTCCCGAGTGCTGGAACCCACATATTAAGAGAGAACCAACTCCCGAATTTTGTCCTCTACCACATGTGCACAAAGTATGCACAGGCCCCCACACAGGAAATAAACACAGTGACTGGAGAGATGGCTCAGTGGTTAAGAGCACGGGCTGCTTTTCCAGCTGGCCGGGGTTCAGTTCCCAGCACCCCAAGGGATCTCACAAGAATCTGTAACTCTAGTCTCTGGGTTTTCTGTCCTCTGCTGTTACTTCATATGAGACATGTGTAAACATGCCTACAGGCAAAACGCTTGTCTTCGTCAGGGGTGATGTTGCTGTGATGAAACACCATGACCAAAAAGCAACTTGGGGAGGCAAGGGTTCACTTGACTTACACTTCTTATCACTGTTCATCATCGAAGGAAGTCAGGACAGAAACTCAAGCAGGGCAGGAGCTGATGCAGAAGCCATGGGTGGGTTCTTCTTACTGGCTTGCTTCCCCTGACCTGCTCAGCCTGCTTTCTTATAGTACCCTGGACCACCAGCCCAGGCATGGCACCACCCACAATGGGCTGGGCCCTCCCCATCAATCACTAATTAAGAAAATGCCTCACAGCTGGCTCTCATGGCAGCCTTTCTCAATCGAGTTTCCCTCCTTTCAGATCTAGCTTGTGTGTGGAATAGACGTAAGACTAGCCAGCACAGTATCCGTACACATAAAATTAAAGATGTGAAAATTCAGCCGGGCGGTGGTGGCGCACACCTTTGATCCCAGCACTCGGGAGACAGAGCCAGGCGGATCTCTGTGAGTTCCAGGAAAGGCTCCAAAGCTACTCAGAGAAACCCTGTCTCAAAAAAACTAAAAAAAGTAAAAATTCTTTTAGAAATACCAGTCAGTATGTGTGTGTCTCTATCCATCCTTATGGACACATTGGTTGGGACATTTTGTTTAGGTTTTGGTTTTGCCTGGCCTTTGTGTCCCTCAGGGTGGGGAACCTGGTTGGAAAACATTCTGATGCTATTTTGGCTGCAAAGAGCAAAGTCCCGTAGGAATAGTCTGGAAGAAAAGAATGGGGCACAAGGGTCAAGTGTGTGATAATTCACTGGGGAATTGGAGGCTGGGGTGACCGGCCTGTGGAGAAGTGGGGGATGAGGTCTCCGCAGTGTGGTGGCTCCTGGGCTAGAGGGAAGGTGGCTGACGACAGCCCAACTTTGCCCGTGCCCTCCTGTTACCTGCCAGCCTCTGGTGAGAGAAGGAAGTGCAGCGGTATTAAGGAAGGAGATGAGCTTTACCTCTGCCGACCGGTGCAGGAGGGTATTGTTCTGGGCTAACCTGCTCTGGCCCCGCAGAGCTGAGAAACAGAGTCACTGACACAGAAGGCCCCACGCTGAAGCTAAGCTGTTTTCCTCACCTCCCAAAAGAGCAGGGACTGCAGAATTCTCCAACAGGCCCTTTTCCGTGCCCTGCACTGGAACCCGCGCCCAGAGACCTGCTGCTAGCCTCTGGGGCATTTTCTGCTCTTCACCCTACTCCCCGCCTTCCTGGGAAGGAGCTTTGAGATGAACCGTCTACTCTGTGTTGTTGTGAGTTCCCTGGGAGACCTGGGCAGTCTTTGTTGTTGCAAGTGGCTTTCTCTGGAGGGTGGTCCAGTGGCCTCCCAAGTTCAGGTGGCTCTTTTGCAGTCCATAGGATGTTCAGGATGTTGCTGGGAATCTTTGGACATTTACTTTTTTTTTTTGGTTTTTCAAGACAGGGTTTCTTTGTGTAGTTTTGGTGCCTGTCCTGGATCTTGCTCTGTAGGCCAGGCTGGCCTCGAACTCAGAGATCCACGTGGTTCTGCCTCCCGGGTGCTGGGATTAAAGGCATGTGCCATCACCACTTGGCCTGGACATTTACTTTTAAATATTTATTTTATGTGTATGGGTGTCTTGCCTGCGTGTATATGTAAGATGAATTGCTAAATGGTCTTATTAATATAAAACCCTGTGCCAGATATTGGGGTGAATTCTGAGAGATCAGAGAGACAGAACCAGCCAACCTCACCTCGACAACTCCTTATCCAGTCGTGTTTCCACGAATTCTCAGACTGAAAGCTTCAGAGTCCTTACCCGAATGGATCTCAGCTGAACTGCTGTTAAAAGCTAAAAGCTAAAAGCTTAAAAGCCTAAAAGCCTCTAGTTCCTGGTCCTCACGCCTTATATACCTTTCTGCTTCCTGCCATCACTTCCTGGGATTAAAGGCATGTGTCTTTCCCAAGCAAGAGATATGAGGTCTCAAATTCTGGGATTAAAGTTGTGTGCCACCATGCCTGGCTCTGTTTCCAGTGTGTCTTTGAACTCACAGAGATCCAGATGGATCTCTGCCTCCGGAATGCTGGGATTAAGGGTGTTTGCCACCGCTGTCTGGCCTCTATGTCTAATCTAGTGGGGGACACAATACATCACCACATATGTCTGTGTACTATATGTATGCAGTGCCTACATACCCAGGAGAGGGCATGGGATCCTCTGGAACTGCCACCATATGGGTGCTGGGAACTGAACCTGGGTCCTTTGCAAGAACAGAACGTACTCCTATTTGCTGACACAGTTCTCTAGTCCTGGGGCACATCTGTTTATATACTCAAGAAGAAGTAACAATCATGGAAATTTCTGGGAAGTAAGTTGTCAGAAAGCCACACCCTTTTGTTTGTTTTGGAGACAGGGTCTCCCTATGTTGCTCAAGCTGACCTCAAGCTTTTTTTTTTTTTTTTTTTTTTTGGAGACAAGGTCTTGTTATATATCCCTGGCTGTCTTGGAACTTGATATGTAGCCCAGGCTGGCCTTGAACTCGGAGAGATCTGCCTGCCTCTGCCCAGCTATGCCCAACTGGCCTCAAACTTTTTTTTTTTTAAGCTTTATTTGTCTTTATGTGTACAGGTGTTTTGCCTACATTTATGCCCATGCACTGTGTACATGCAGTGTTCTCGGGGGCCGGAAGAGGGTGTTGGATACCCTGGAACTGGAGTTACAGTTGTTAGCTACTTTGGTGATGCTGGGACCCAAACCTGGATCCTCTGGCATAGCAGCCAGTGCTCTTAACCTCTGAGCCCTCTCTCCAGTCCCTGTCCTCGAATCTTGATCCTCCTGCCTCCATTTGCTAAGTGCTTGGACGATGGTGTGTGCCACCGCACCCCACTGCCCTGTTGAATTTTTATTTTGTTTAGAGATAGGGTCTCATTCAGCCCAGGCTGGCCTTGAAAAGGATATGTAGTCCAGGCTGACTTTGAACTCCTGATCTTCCTGCCTCCACCTGTCAAGTGCTAGGATTACACGTGTGCCACCACACCCAGCCCCCACTTACCTTTATCCTTAGTTTTCCTAGACTGAAGTGGAAAAGTTACACTCCTGGCAGCTGGGTTTTAGATGAGAAGAAAAGGATGCATTTGGGCTGAAACCCCTCACACAGCTCACTCATACTGTGCATGTACGTGTGCAGATCTATAACAACCTGCGGGAGGCTGTGTCGACCATGTACAGGACCGAGGGCCCCTTGGTCTTCTACAAAGGCTTGCTTCCCACCGTGATCGCCATCTTCCCCTACGCGGGCCTGCAGTTCTCCTGCTACCGGTCCTTGAAGCGTGCCTACGACTGGGTCCTCCCGCCAGATAGAAAGCAAACAGGTGAGATGCCCCCAGCCTAGCCTGGGCCACGGCTTCTGTGAGTCTTGAAGGCGCTGGTTTTCCTGTCCGGAGCATCTGGCTCTGTGGTCTAGCTGGCAGAACATGTGAGTCTTGTACTTTAGAGGACACTTCTTCCAGCTCTTACACACTCACCCCTACACTTCTGGGAGCAAGTGTCTTTCCTGGGAATAGTTCTTCCTGGTTTTCATTTTTTTTGTCAGAAGCCCAACTTACAAATTGCATTTATTCATTTATTCATGTATTCATCTATCTATCTATCTGTCTATCTATCTATCTATCTATCTATCTATCTATCTATCTATCTATCTATCTATCTATCATCCATCGCTTTTGTGGTTTCATTGTTTGGTGGGGAGGGGATGCACTGTTTCCATCTAGGGACTCACAGGTTCTGTGTCTCCAGGTGAGACCAGCTGGCTAATGTGTCTGTCTGTTGTCACTCTTGCTTCAATGGCTGTGTCTGCCTCTGGCAGTGGTCATGTTCCCTTTTGAGAAGCAAGAATTGCTCATGGGGTTCAGGTTAGTGGTAGAGTATTAAGTCTGATGACTTTTTTTTTTTTTTTTTTGGTTTTGAGACAGGGTTTGTCTGTGTAACAAACAGCTCTGGCCATCCTAGAACTTGCTCTATAGACCAGGCTGGTCTAGAACTCACAGAGATCCACTTGCTTCTGCCTCCGAAGTGCTGGGATTAAAAGCATGCCCAATTCTGATATTTTTATTTCATATTTTTTTAAGATTTATTTTTAAATTCTTAATTATTTTATGAGTGTCTGTGTACCATGTGTATGCCTGATACCCTTGGAGACAAGAAGAACTCATTGGATCCCCTGGAACTGGAGTTACCAGCAGTTGTGAGCCTCCATGAGGTGCTGGGAATGAAATCCAGGGCCACTGGAAAAGCAGCGAGTACCCTTAACTGCTGAGCCATCTCTCCAGCTCTGGTTTTATTATTTATGTGTCTGCATGTGTGTATGCCATGCGTGTGTGCGTGTGCGTGTGTGTGCGCGTGCGTGCGTGCGTGCGTGCGTGCGTGCGTGCGTGCGTGCGTGCATGTGTTTGTGTGTGTGCATGTGTGTGTGTAGGGTACTCAAGGCAGCTGAACTGTTCCCTGGAGTTGTAGTTCCAAGCAGTTGTGAGTGGCCTGATGTGGGTGCTGGGAACAGAACTTGGTTTTTCTGGAAGAGCAGCCAGTGCTTTAAGACACCAACACTCTCCTGTCCCTGTCATGCCATGGACCTTCAGCTGCATTTCTCTTTCTGTGGCTCAGGGAACCTGAAAAACCTACTTTGTGGCTGTGGGTCTGGAGTCATTAGCAAGACCCTCACATATCCCCTGGACCTCTTCAAGAAGCGCCTGCAGGTGGGAGGGTTCGAGCATGCCCGGTCTGCCTTTGGTCAGGTAAGCCATCCTGTGCCGAGCGCTCAGATCAGTGCTGTCATTGGACGTGAGCAGCCAGCAGCAGTGACCCCTCCCCCTTTGTCTTCTGTAGTTTTCTTTTTTTGTTTTGTTTTTGGAGACAGGGTTTCTGTGTGGCTCTAGCTGTCCTGGAACTAGCTCTGTAGACCAGGCTGGCTTCGAACTCAGAGATCCACAGAGTGCTGGGATTAAAGGCTTCACCACCGTCTGTCCCCCCACCCCTTTTTTTTAGTCAGAATTAATTCACTTTATTTTTCTTGTATAAAAACCTTATGTAGGGCTGGCGAGATGGCTCAGAGGTTAAGAGCACTGGCTATTCTTCCAGAGGTCCTGAATTCAATTCCCAGCAACCACATGGTGGCTCACAACCATCTATAATGGGATCTGGTGCCCTCTTTTGGCCTGCAGGCATACACGAGGGCAGGATACTGTATGCATAATAAATAAATCTTTAAAAAAAAAACAAACAAACAAACAAACAAACAAACAAAAACCTTATGTGGTGGCCACGGCTTAAGCCTGTTAAGCCTGGGTCCCCTGAACAGAGGCTCTGCTGTGAGTTTTCACAAGATGGTCAGTGAATTCTTGATAAGGAGAGTTGGTGAACACAGTCTCTTTCCAGAGGCCTGCGGTCAGGTACCTGTAGGTCTTGGAGATGGCATCAAAGGTGGCCTTGGCAAAGTTGCCCCGGGTGGCATTGCGGCCCCTGGCTGATGGGTAGCAAGCAACAGTACTGGCCATTGGCAGCAGCTTCTTGGGCACAGGAGCAGAGTCAATGCCAGTGCCTCTGGAGGCAGGGCTGAGACTTAGCGACACAGAGCCACAGCGGCCTGTCACCCTGCACAGAACAGTGTGGGGTTGGCCAGTCCTGTTCCCCAGTAGCCTCTGCACAGGGACAGTGGAAAGCTCGGCCAAGATGATGGCCACTCGATGGCAGTGGCTACCTCCTTGGAGCACTTAACACCAAGACCATCATGATCGTGGTAATTCCCAATAGCGACAAAGCCTGGAACCTGGTCTGCTGGCCAGCCCGAGTCTGATCCACACTGATCTTTAGAATCTCATCCCTTAGGGATGTGCCTAGGAAAAAAAAAAAATCAATAATCCCTGATTCCTTAATGGGAAGGGAGAACAGGTAGGTCTCCTCGGGGGCCTGATCTTCCTGTCTTTCAGCTCCTTGTCGTCAGCTTTGCCTCCGCCATCCCCCTGGCCCTGACCACAGCAACAGCCTCACCCCCCTAGGACCACTCGGAGTCTTCACCTCGTTCCCCTCGCCAGGAAGAGCCCTCTCTAGCTTAGTTAAGCCCGACCTATCCCATGTGCCCAGGGATGAAGAATTCCACCCCTCATTCATCCAGGGAGCAGTTACTGGGAGCTGTGTTGAGCCAGGTGACTCCCTGTTTTAATGACCATTTCCCTCCTCAGCCTACACCTTCCTCTTCCCAGGTGCGGAGCTACAGGGGCCTCCTGGACCTCACCAAGCAGGTGCTCCACGATGAAGGCACCAAGGGCTTCTTCAAGGGCCTGTCGCCCAGCCTGCTGAAGGCTGCCCTCTCCACGGGCTTCATGTTCTTCTGGTACGAGCTCTTCTGTAACCTGTTCCACTGTATGAGGATCGAAGACAGATAGCTGTGAGGGCAGGAGGGGCCGAAGGTCTGCCCTGGAGGCGCCTCTCCCAACAAGACTTGTTCTGAGCTCATACTGAACAATGGCTGCTGCCTGGTTGGCCTTCTAGGCCAGCTGTCCTGAGCATGAAGGGTCGTCCACAGCCGATGGCGGACGGGCCAGGGCCTTTTCTGAAGAGAACACAGAGAAGGGAGTGCTTGGGCTACAGAGACACCGAGGAGGAGGAGCCTGGTGTTGTTCCTCCTCTGTCCAGCCAGCCTCTGCTTTGTAGTCCTGGTTCTGGGGAGAAGCCCCCCAGTCCTAGTAAGAGCACAGCTTGAGCACACAGGGGTAGGACTGGGCTCTTTGCAGAATTCTAACCCCCACAACTTGGTTTGTTTCTCCTGCCAACTTATTTAATAGACATTAAAGCAAAAGGCACATTCCTCATCTCACTCTGGCAGCTCGTCTCATGAGCCACGCCCCAGTTGAGGGCGGGTGATGGGGGGGGGGCCTTTCTGGTGCCCCTGCAGCTGCAGCCCAGGCAGCCACGCTCTTCAACTTAAGGGGGGACCCCTACCACGTGGGTAGCTTCTGAACTCGCAGACCCAGACCTCTGTGGCTGTGAGGCTCCAGGACTGAACAGGAATGGTACTGGGACAGAACCAGTTTCTAGGTGGAAGGCGGGAAGTGAAGGGGATGTGCTGAGCCACAGGAGTGGGCAGGTGCTGGCCCAACCCTCAGGCTTGGCGGCGGCTCCACTTCACCGGGTGCTGGGTTAGCGCTGCTGGAGTGCAGAGTTCTCAGGCCAGGCGACACCATTAGCTCAGGGTTTTGCTCTTCAGCTCAGCATGGATGCTGTGTGTGTCCTCTGATCCCAGAAGGGCCTCAGCCACAAAGCAGTCCAGTAGTGGCCAACAGGCTAGGGGGGCATGGTTGGCATCTGTTAGCGGAACCAAGGATCCAGACAGATGGATGTATCTAGACGAAGAGGAGAAACTTGTCAGGGGCACAAGAGGATAAATACAGGATGGCCATCTTTTCCATGTTCCTGCCTGGCAGTGAATCTGGCAGAGGGAAGGGAGGAAAGATCCCTTGACTCTGTGGGATTCCTGCCCCTGTGATAACCTGGATTGTAACGCCTGCTGGGAATGGCCCTGTTCATGGAAGCTGGAACTTCTACCCCGAGTCAGCAGCCTCTCCTCTTGGCCCCATTGTATCTCTCCCCTAGCTGCTGTACATTCTCTGATCCTGGCTCCAGATTCTGAAGGTCCAGGCTGCTCTTGGGAGGGCTTCTAAGGCAGGTGGGCCCTTGCCTTTCTGGGCATGGGGTTGCAGAAGTCTCATGAGATCCTAGAGACAGGTGAACAAATGCCTATTCCAGAGGAGGAGGATGACAGACAGTGGAAAGACGCCACCTGTCTATGGGTTTTCATTGCTGACATGAAACACCGTGACCAGGAGCTGCTTGGGGAGGAAAGTGTTGTTGGTTATTTTTACTCTTTTGGGGGGCCGGCCACCCAGCTCCCAAATAAGTCACGCATGGAGGCTTATTCTTAATTATAAATGTCCAGCCTTAGCTTGCCTTGTTTCTGGCTAGCTCCTTAACTTAAATTATACCATCTACCTTTTGCCTCTGGGCTTTTTCCTTTATTTACTTCTGTATATCTTGCTTTCACTCTTACTCCGAGGCTGGCTGTGTGGCTGGCACCTAGAGTCCTCTCTCCTTGTTCTCTTGCTCCTTCTTGATCTCTCTTCTAGATTTCTCCTTCTATTTATTCTCTCTGCCTGCCAGTCCCGCCTATCCTTTCTTGCTATTGGCCATTCAGCTCTTTATTGGACCATCAGGTGTTATAGACAGGCAAAGTAACACAGCTTCACAGAGTTAAACAAATACAACATAAAAGAATATAATACAGCTTTTCATCATTAAACAAATGTTCCACAGTATGAACAAATGCAACACATCTTAATAATATTCTATAGTATTTTTCCCTTTTTGTCTAAATAAAAAGGTTTTAAATTTAACATAGTAAAACTATACACAACAAAAAGTTATCAAGTAAGAATTACATTTACAATATTCAGTCCATTTGTATTTAGCTTATTCAGAGAAAACATTATCTGTCCTATCTTAGTGAATACAAAATTTTACACCTAATTTATTTCCTATCATAATTAAAGAAAACTATTAACTAATTACTTAGTTTTTAACTCCATCAGATACCCTGAAGGATGTAATATTATCTAACAACAGAGACATTTGGCTGCCTGGACAGTAACTCAAAGTTCCTCTGCAACGTTGGGGCATCCATCTTCAGCCTACAGGCCCAGAATATCTGGCAAACTTTTCAGTGAAGCAGGAATTTGAAGAACTGTCCTGCCTTCTTGTGGCACAGTTCAACAGTCTTTCCTGTGGGCTCTGCATGTCCAGTCTGCACAGCACATTGTCAGAAGTTTCTTTGCCCAGTGGCTAACCTTGGCACAATGAAAACAAACTCCTATGAAGTGTTTTTTTTTTTTTTTTTTTTCTCCCCAAGACAGGGTTTCTCTGGGTAGCTTTGCACCTTTCCTCGAACTCACTTGGTAGCCCAGGCTGGCCTCAAACTCACAGAGATCCGCCTGCCTCTGCCTCCCGAGTGCTGGGATTTAAAGGCATGCGCCACCACTGCCCGGCATGTGATAAGGTTTCTTTTTTTAAAATTTATAAATAAATAAATTAAATATGTATTCAGTGTTCTTCATGCATGTATACCTGCACGCCAGAAGAGGGCACCAGACCTCATTACAGATGGTTGTGAGCCACCATGTGGTTGCTGGAAATTGAACTCAGAACCTCTAGAAGAGCAGCCAGTGCTCTTAACCACTGAGCCATCTCTCCAGCCCCCTATGAAGTTTCTTAATGCCCATCATCTCTGATGTAAATTGGTGCTCCCAGGGGCAGATATGTCTCATTGTCATGAAAAGCCCTAAGTTAACAAAACATTTTAAATGCCACATTCTATAGGTCTTTGAAGTATTTGAAGACCAATGTCTAAAATATATCTCTATATAATCTTGAAAGCATACTTTGGGGCTGGAGAGGTGGCTCAGCGGTCAAGAGCACTGGCTGTTCTTCCAGAGGTCCTGAGTTCAATTCCCAGCAACCACATGGTGACTCACAACCATCTGTAACAAGAACTGGCACCTTCTTCTGGCCTGCAGGCATGCATGCAGACAGAGTACTTATACATAATAAATAAATAAAATCTTTTTTTTTAAAAAAAGCATACTTAACACATCTACAAATATGGTTAAAAATTACTACTAACCTGTTTCTTGGTTGTCCTATATAATTCGTAATAACAGCTTTCAAAAACTAGAACTTTACCTATATTTTAAATGAACTACATAGGTGCAGTACTTTAAACAAGAGTAGAAGCATATATACAATATGTTGTAAGAAAAATAACCTTAAATTTGTATCAATATACAAGAATCCTTTAAACAAGAGTAGAAACATATATACAGTACTTTATAACAAAAATGACCTTAAATTTGTATCAATATACAAAAGTCCATACAAATACAAAATATTTGTTGTTTTTTAGTTTAAAGTAGATTTAATATTCTATCCTATTATCATTCCTATATTCCCCTAAATATAACAAACATCCATGACTCACCAGTTAACCAAAAGCCAACCACACCCCTCTTGGGAATGTGGGCAATGTGTTCTCCAAACTGCTTCTTGCTGTCTGTGGGTGAAGGCCTCTTTAGGGTCCCCGAGAACATTTTGAGATAATAGCCAAATCCTGGGAAGACCAGCAGTAACCGTTGTTGATAGATACCATCTGTCAAGATTCAGTAGGTCTCCCTTGATCAAACCTGATCCACATTATTCCTGAAGGAGTCCACAACTTCTGTGGGAACAAAACTTGAAAGCATTTTTGACTTCCATTTGACAATTTTTTTTTTACTTCTTTTTAAAGTTAAGGCATTAAAGTATCCTGATGGTTCAATTTGGCAGTCCAGTTCACAATCCCATGCCTCTTAACTATTTTTGCTTATCAGCATTCAAAAAATTCAAAAACAACATAACACTATATAGGATCCAGACTCCCTGTGTATTTCCTATCTTATGTGGCTTATTTCTTTTATATTACTTTTACTGTCTTTTTAAAGACTGTACTCTTTCTTTTCTTTTTTTTTTTTTTTTTTTTTTGCTATGTTTGAACAAACCCATCTGGTCTCAGTTGATAAACTCCATCTCTTTAATAGTCTCAAATTTATCTTTCTTTTACAGGATCACTCATCTAGGAGAGTGGATATGATCTTGGGAAACAAATTTTTTTTTCAAAACTCATGCAAACTCTTTGTAGAAAAATGATGTAGGC